GAGGAGAGGAGGAATGGGAGGAGAGGAGGGGAGGAATGGGAGGAGAGGAGAGGAGGAATGGGAGGAAAAGGGAGGAGAGAGAAGAAGGCTAAGAAGGAAGAGGGAAGGAGAGAATGAGAGTGGACAGGAGGAGAGGGAATGGGAGGGGAGAGAAAGAGAGGGCAGAGAGAAAAGGGGAAGCAGGAGAGGTAAGAGCTACTATTTCCAATGGCATCTCCAACCCCAAACCAAGGACCGTTTTGGCATATATGATGATGGCATGTTCTCCCCAGGGATATGCTTTTCTCCTCTGCCTGCCATTCCCCTGTGCTGGGCAGCTGACAAATTCCTGTAAGTCCAATTAGGGAGGACATGATGACTTTTTGCCTCAAAGGGCCATGCACTCTCATGCATGCACATATGGTGACACTGTCACATACAAATATACATAGTTAAAATAAAAATAAACATTTCTTTTTAAAAGGCTGCAATTTCTATCAGGTGGCTCTACCCACAGAGATGTGCTTTCAAAGCCACATTAGCATTTCTTACCCTAGCCCCTGGGCACAAAAGGGGTGTTCCACTGCTGTTAGTCCTTAGGAGGTAGCACAATATCTGTTTCTCTATAAGCTGTCACACCTTTACAAATAGTCTCCTCTATTCATCTCTGTCAAAGACATCCTCCTAGGTTTCCTGATAGAATCTCAATGGTATAGCCAATATTTCTAGGCTTTAGCAGTAACTCATTAAGATTTCATGTCCTTATCATCTCAATCCTTCACTGTTATATAAAAATAAATTTAATTCATGACTTTATCAAGTGAAAAGTAAAACAAATTATTTGAAGTCCTTATAATTAGACATTGTTGCTATGGATGATATTTTCAAAAGCATCCAAGAAACTGGACAGTTGGCTATTTATTATTTTAAGAACAGGAAGGAAGACTAAATATTGATAAAGGTTCAGGTTAAGAACGTTTGTAACAACTCTCTGTCATGGATCACTGCTGTGAGACACAAGTAGAAACAGTAAGAGTGAAGTAAGTGGCCAGAATGTTAAACCAAACTTTCAATCGGTTAGAAAGTATTTACTGTTCTAAAAACTCTACATGTTCGAAGTCCATTATTTCCATTGATTTTCCAAGTATTATTCATTCTATTTTCTTCATGTTATATTGATTCTTATTAGTGTCTATTTACACCATTGCATATAAAAATTTCCATCTTGCTTAGTCTTTTGTGGTATTACATTTCTTCTAAGTCTGATGAATCATTCTCTTAGAAAAGATCTGTTTAATGTACAGAAGTAGAAGAGTGTATTCTCATCATAATTCTACAAATGAGGAGTTAAAATCATGGGAAGAATGTGTAAGTCTGTATTCCAGTATCCAGCCTGTATTGTGGGGCTCTTTTATTCCCATTCTATTACATGTTACTTTATTTTATTTTTAGTTTGGAAAAAATATTGAAGCACATTAATACGAGAGTTAGACATCCAATTATTTTTCTTTGGGATTATTTGAAGTTTTGTGGACAATTTCTGTTTGATGCATTATCTTTGCATTTCTTTAACCTGAAAAATTGAGACCTTAGAACTATTAATACCTTGTAAGCTTGCTTGGCAACAAAGTATAATAGCAATAGCCACTCTTATGTATAGAAATACCTCTAAATTAAACTCGATGTGACTATTCAGTAACAAAATTTGAAGATACTAACTATATCAGTGACTAATGAAATGGGTCTTAAGTGTTTTATGATAAACAAAATGAGTTGCTATACAGGTAAATTGGAAAAGTTTGTAGGCACAGCTTTTTGAATTGCCTCTGGTGCTTGTATCTTCCTTTCAATGTTCATATTTTAATATTAATACTTTAATTATTTTCTCTGTGTTCTTCACATTAAAAGGTCTACTAGTCACATCTCCTCCCTCTACACACACACACACAAACATTTCCTAAAGAAAAAAAAGCAGTTCTTTGAAAAAAAAAAATGAACTGTTAGAAGTCAGTCAGGTATGACAAAAACAGAATCTAAAAATTGTATTGGATCAAGAGACTGTGTAAAGTAGTCTGGGCTGTGTGTATATATGTTTGTGTACACGCACACACACTTGTACTGGTGGTTTGAATGAAATGATGTGAATGGCCCCCATGGGCTCATGTATTTGAACGCATGATCCCAATTTAGTGGAACTATTATAGAAGGATTAGGAGGCGTGCTCTTATTGAAAGAGGTGTGTCACTGAGGGTGGGCTTTTTGGTTTCAACCTGTCTCTGTATATCTGACCTGGTTAAAAAAAAAATACCTCCTCGCTCTAATTGGAACTCCAAGTCGGGGCTATTTCTGGTGTTGGCGCGGCTCCAAGAAGGCCAAGTCTCTCAGCTGCCCCAGAGGGAAGGAAGATGAGTGAGTCGGGCTCCAAGTCCAGCCAGGCCCTGGCCTCCAAGCAGGAAAAGGACGGGGCTGAGAAGCGAGGCCGGGGCAGGCCAAGCAAGCAGCCTCCCAAGGAGCCCAGTGAAGTGCCAACACCGAAGAGACCTCGGGGCCGACCAAAGGGAAGCAAAAATAAGGGAGCCGCCAAGACACGGAAAGTTACCACAGCTCCAGGGAGGAAACCAAGGGGCAGACCCAAGAAGTTGGAGAAGGAGGAAGAAGAGGGCGTCTCCCAGGAGTCCTCAGAGGAGGAGCAGTAACCACCACAGCGCCCTGATGCCTCCTCCTTAGCCCCTGAGGAGCAGCTTTTCCCCTGGGACTGAAGGCCCTGCTCCCAGGCCCCTCCCCGCCCCCACTGCACACTACCGCACTAGCTGCAGGCTCTGCGGCACCCACGGGAGCAGGATTCGGCCCGTGCCCTCCTCCTGCCACACCTGCCCTCTCCCGACAAGGCTAACCTCCCTCTTAGCCTCAGCCCATCCTGCTGCACAGCTCCCTGAGAGAGCTGCTCTCCGGGCTGGGCTCTTTGTTTCTCCAGTCCCTTCTGCTCTGCTGTTCCTGCCTTCCTTTAGGGGGTCCTGAGAGCCTTCCCTGGCCTTAAGGGGCCCCAGCCCCGCTCCTCTGACAAGCCCCATTGGCTGAGCTGGCAGCAGCAGGGGATGCTTACCTCCCGGCATGCCCCCACCGAGCTATGACCAGGTGGGTTTTTTCAGTCTCTCCTGCCCCACCCTACCCAGACCCCGGAGGTTGGCTAAGCCCCTTGGGCTACTGGAAGCAGGACAGGTGTGGGCCCACCCAGCTAGTTCTCACCTGGGACAGTGACAGATGGAAGTTAACACCCCTCTGGAAGGTGAGGTCCTCTTTGGCTTCCACCTAAGGCAGAAGGGGGACTTTCCCCCCCCCCCCCCCCACTTCCACTCTAGGCTGCCCCCTTCCTGCAGCGGGCACTACGGAGCTAGCCTTGCCCCCTCCTTTTGCTCCTCCCCAGCCCCCAAGGTTCTGGTTCCCTCTTTTCCTCTGTTCACAAACTACCTCTGGACAGTTGTGTTGTTTTTGGTTCAATGTTCATTCGTAGACGCCCACCATTGCTGCTGCTACCAGCGCCAACATTTATCCTCCCGTTTGGGTTTTTTTGTTTTGTTTTTTGTTTTTGTTTTTTTGGTTTTTTTTTTTTGCCTGCACTCTCCTCCCCAAGACACTCTAGGGGAAGGGGGCTGGGGCCCAGCAGGCCAGTCACCTACTCCACACCAGGGAAGATGGGGGCCTGCCCCGTGGATGCTGCAGCAGAGTGAGGAGGGGGCCCACTTTGATGGGAAAGGGTGTAGGGCCACCGACTCCCCTTGTTCTGTGGGGGAGGGGTGGCCAGTGTTTGTCCCAGCCTGGGGCCTCCCTCTGGTTTCCTATTTGCAGTTACTTGAATAAAAAAAAAAATAGCCTTTTCTGGAAAAAAAAAATGCCTCCTCTCTCTCTCTCTCTCTCTCTCTCTCTCTCTCTGCTGCCTAGTGATAAAGTTGTTAATTTCTGAGGAACTTCTACAACACCATGCCTGCCTGCAGGCCACCATATTCCCTACTATGATGATAATTTGAATATACCTCTAAAACTGTAAGAAAGCACCTAAGTAAAAGTTTTTTGTTTGTTTGTTTTGTTTTTTTATGAGTTGCCTTAGTCATGGGATATCCTCACAGCAATAGAATGGTAACTTAGATGCACATTTGTAGTGTGTGTGTGTGTGTGTGTGTGTGTGTGTTTAATTTGTGAATATTTTGCCTACATCTACATGTGTGTGTTTATCAGATACATACCTGGTACATGTGTGGGCTAGAAAAGGGATCTTCTAAGAATGGAGTTACAGATGGTTGTAAGTCACCATGAGGATACTGATAATCAAGTTCTACTGGAAAAGCAGATAGTGCTCTAACTGGTGAGCCATCTCTCTAGCTCCAGAAACAATTGTTAAATGATACATAAAAACATGGATAAGTAAATTATGAATGAAGCTATAGAATAAAACAAAATTGAATCCCAACGATAGAGCAAAAGAGAAATGTTTGATCAGGAGAGATAGCTCAGCAGGTCAAGACTCACCAAGATTGACACATAACCTGATTTCTGGAACTCAAATGACTAAAGGAGAACACTGATTTCCCAAGTTGTCCCATGACCTTTCCACACGTGTGCCATGCCAAGTGCACTGGAGTGAGTGTACACACATAAATAATAAAGGTATAAATATAAAAACAGAAAAACATTTTGCAGTAAGATTGTTATAACCCTTTTATCTGCAAAACAAACAAACAAAATATAATACTGACAAATATGGCTCCAAGAACAGAAGAGATGTTTGGCATTTATGGAAAATATAGAAAAGTATTGTATAAATATAAATAATAAATATAAATAAATAAATATAGAAAAGTAACTCTGGCCTTCCTTTGGTTTCCCAGTATATATACACAGATATAAGGTAGACCAAACTTATTGTAAAGAAGATTAAAGAACACTTTTAAGGGGTGAGAAAGGGCAATGGCCAAGGAGACCCTTGTAATGACAAACACTGTGGATAGACTATACTACTTTTTAAAATTTTAATACAAATAGCCTTCTTAGGAGATCTCTTTTGGAACAAGTAATTGATAGGCCTGTTAGTTTAACCTTTATAGGGAGGGACAATGGTATGTGTAGCTTTTTGCTATATAAGGTTTAGGGCTCCTGGAAACATATTTAGAAAATTAATGAGTGAATGATCATCAGAGGGTCACCTCCCAGGGACAGAGATATGATTCAGTTCCTTTGGCCTGTAATTACTGTCTTGATATTCTACCCCTTGGTTTTAAAAGCTGTTGATTGGAGGAGAACTCCAGCTCTAATGTTATCTAACCTTGCCATTGTTCCATATCCAGTTTCCAATCAAGACTCCCCTATTCTTACTTAGAAATATACCTCATATATTTTCAGTGTATTCCTTTAAAAAAAAGTTGTAGCCATAAGCCCCTAATTAGAGATGACATTTCTTCTCCATCTGCCCATTTTATGCAGGATTGATTTCTGACATGTAGAATGTTTACAAATTATGTTTGTTGGATAAATACAAAATGAAAGAGCTTTAGATGCTAGTCCTTATACCTCATTGCAAGAACTTATCCTTACAGGGTGTCTTGGTTAGGGTTTCTATTACTTTGATAAAATACCATGACCAAAAAGCAAGTTGGGGGAGGAGAGGGTTTTATTTGCCTTATACTTCCATTTCATCATTAATCATCAAAGGAAGTCAGGACAGGAACTCAAGCAGGGCAGGAACCTGGAGGCAAGACCTGAGGCAAAGGACAAAGAGGGGTTCTGCTTACTGGCTTGCTGATCAAGACTTACTCAGCCTGCTTTCTTATAGAACCCAGGGCTGCCAGCCCAGGGAAGACACCACTTACAAAAGAGTGGACCTTCCCCATTACTCACTAATTAAGAACATGCCTTACAGGCATGCCTAGAGCCCAGTCTTCTGGAGGCATTTTCTTGATTGGGGTTCCCTCCTCTCAGCTGACTTTAGCTAGTGTCAAGATGACATAAAACTTTCCAGTCCATCTGGAACTGAAAGATGAGAACCAGGAGACAAGACAGGCATTCACAGCTTCAATTTTTTAATTTGTGAAAAATCTGTTTGTAGAATATATTTAATAAATGCTCAACTCTTAACTTGTGCAGGATGCTTCTCTTTAAGTGTCTCCTGTCATGTCTTCTTTTTATTACTCAGTGCTTTTCAGAGATAATGGTCATTTTGAATGCTAACAAGGGCCAGTTAAATTACTATGTCTAGTTTTTCTGAATCCATACTTTTCAAGAAATTCTAAAACTGGGCCAAAAAAATCATATTTGTATTGGCTTTATAGGGTCCTTTCCTGTCTCCTCCAACTCTCTTTAAAAATAAAACAAGATTTCTCCCCAAAATTCACTTCCTAGCAGTAGAGTTATTAATCTTCAGTACCTTTGACTGATAATAAATTATAAATGTAGTCAAGATGGAGATAGCATCTCTTTTATCTACAGTGTTCTATTATGGAAATGAATCAAAATCAAATACGAACAGGAATCTTACAGCTTAAAAGGACAATTGGCATAGTCAATATACATGTTATGATACTTTTCAATTTTCAGTTTATGATTAATATGAGCATAATGCAATAAAAATTGAGGCAGAATTCAGTATAAAATCTACTTTCAGATCAAATTTATTTACTGTCTTTTATTAACACTAAGCTACAATCCAGTTGAGCCATGTAAATAAATTTATTATTTGTACATCTAAATTGTCAAGCCAATCAGTCTTAGCTACTTTGAACTGAGATGATTATAGTTGCCTGTTGGAGTAATAAGCAGGGAAGGTTTGCTGTAAGAGTTGTTTGGTATATATTCTTTCTTTTGCTTAAAAATTCCAGCAAAATGTTCTTAATTTTTTGTGAATAGCAAATTTTTTCCCATTTAACAAGTTAAATTAGTGCTATTTAGGGCAAAATAATAAAGACAATGCAACTTCAGCTCAAAAAACATGTTTTAATGTCAAAATGATATTGTAGATGATTCAATGAACTTTGAGATGATAGGCCACAATATATCTTCTTAAGATTCCTCTTTGGAGGGGAGGATAAAATGGCAAATAATGGCATAGAATCCTTTCCAAACTAAAGGCCTGGATCAGTCCTTATGTCTGGGAAATGGGTCCAGGAAGAGCTGTTCATCCTTTACTTCTTTTTAGTTCGGCTACTCCTCTGTACCATGTGCGGAAGGGAATAGAGGGGCTACATGTGTAGCACATTTTGCTTAGTTTTTCACATGTGGTGTGATTCCAGAATACCACAACTGTTCATTTATAACGGAACCAAATTTACTGACTTGCAAATCTAAAGTCATGTGTTCACACCATCCCATGATTGTGGAGCAGAGAGGGGAGGAAGAGAAAAGAAGAAAAGAGAGATAAAGAGGCAAAGATGAAATTTATCCTCGAGCCTCTTTATAACCCAAATCAATCCTTATAAAGAACTATACCTCATTCAGCACTGTTTCCTAATGCTGGTGGGCTGAGACTAAAGCTTTCAATATGTGTTTTTAAAGAAACATCTCAAACTGTATCATATGGTAATCTGAATTCTGAGGATAGACATCCAATAATTATTTTTGAATTTCCATTATAGAATAAAAATTAAGTCATATCAAGTATTATCGGAGGAAGAGACTGAATACCTTTTCATTTTGCTTTTGAGGAGAAATCAGCATGA